GTTCTTAATGGGCCGAAGGGACCCCCTCTCCAGATGCAGCTCTCTGAAGGTGCTGAGGTACATTACATTGACGGAGCTGCCCGTGTCAATGTAAGTTCGGTGAATGATGGTGTCGTTTATCTCCGTCCGAATCACCAAGGCATCCCTGTGAGGAGAAGAAGTAGGAGGGAGATCTGCGTTGGTGAAGGTGATGGGTTCCTCCCTCAGTCGCTTTACCGGGGGCATATGAGTGACTTCCCCCACATAAAGCGATTGAGCCCACTTCTTTCGTTGGCTGGTGGAATCGCCCCCTGTACTGCCACCGGTGATCATAAGGATGTGGCGTTTTTTCTCCTGGTAGTGGGGGTATTCCTCCTCCTCTTCTTCCAAGTTTCCAATCTCCCTCTTCTTGCCGAGGGGGATGGTATTCGGGTTTACCCAAGCATTTACCTTCGTGTGGTGCCCTCGGGGAGGCCCCTGATGAGAGGGTCCCTCCTGCCGAGGGCTCTGAACAAATTGGGACAGGTGCCCTGCTTGTATTAACCTCTCGATGGTCGTCTTTAGCTGATGGCAGTCATCGGTCCTGTGCCCCTGGTGCCGATGGAAGCGACAGTAGGGGAACTGAGGGTTGATAGCGTGTACCTCCGGGGGTGCGCGAGAGTCGCGCTCAACGAGGCCCCTCTCCTCGGCAAAATCGAGGATGATGCTGACGGGGTGCGTCAACGGTGTCCGAGGGCGGTCCAGGAGAATGGGCTGTGCCCAAGTCTTAGGGTTGCTCTTATAACCTCCCCCGGGCTTGGCTTGGCCTTGCCGAGGGCGGTCATCGGAGGGTCCCGAAGTCTTGGGGTGATTTGGAGGAGCCCCCGGCCCTCGGTTGTTTTTGTTGTCAGCCCTCGGGGGCTGCTGGTCCGGATGCTGGTGATACTTCTCCACCTCCTCGGCCTCAGCATATCTGTCCCCCCGCTGCAAAGCCCTTATGTAGTCGCGGGGGGGTTCAATGATGAGGCTCCTTGAAAAGTTACCGGTGCGGAGGACGGTTTGTAGGAGGGCCAGGAGAGTCCCGTCATCAGCACCGTCGACCTTGTCGGCCTCCGTCCTCCAGCGCTCCAGGAAGTCCCGAAGGGTCTCATCCCTCTTTTGGCGTATGGTTAGGAGATGGGAGAAGTGCTTCCTCGTGCGACGCCTCCCGGCGAATTGTGTCAAGAATCGCTGGGCGAGTTCTTGCCATAAATCAATACAGCCCTCGGGCAGCCTGTTGAACCATTCGTATGCCGGCCCCTCTAAGGTGGAGAGGAACCAACGACACAAATATTCGTCCGACGCCCCTACCATCATCATGCTGTTCTGGTACTTGCTGTAATGTTCCTGGGGGTCCGTTTTTCCGTTGTAGGGCTGTATATGTTGCCCTCGGTATTTTTCCGGGATCCGGGCCACCAATACCCTTGGGGTAAATGGAGTTCGAGTCCGGAGCTGGATGACGGGTTCCCCGGAGCCCTCGGCCACCTTCTTCTGTAACTCCTCCATTTTGGCCATCATGGCCTCGTATTTGAGATCTGAATGAGGGGTGGAGGTGGTGGCGTGAGCTTTGTTGGACTCCATCTCATCAAGCTGGCGTTGGAGGGCCGCAATAATCTCGTCCCGGGGATCCTTCGGGAGGGTCTCCGCCCCCTGCGAACGAACCCGGGCCGAGTGGGCCTGGTTGATTTGGTGCCGAGCATCATCAGCATGAAGGGGTGCCTTGCCTTTGTCCCGAGGGGGACGCTCCTCGTCTGCCCTCGAAACAGATCCCCCGCTTTCCTGGGGCCTTTGGAGTGCTTTCCCCCCGAGGCGGTCTTGGACCCCTCGGCGGTCTGGCCCTCCTCCGAGCCGGTTGAGGGCGGAAGTACGGGGTCTTTCCCTGTTGTCATTATGGCGGTCCCGGGACTGAACTTCCTGGGAGGACGTATCTTGGGCCACCACCCCCTCGTTGTTCCTCACCCGAGGGGTGGGATTTCCGAAGGGGTGTGGCAGAGGGGGAAGTATGATGTTTTCCCCAACCTGAGGGTGAGCTGGAGCCAGGGTGCCGAAGGCACCCGGGTTCTGGGTGAGCGTTTGGATGAAGGCGGAGAGCGCCGATTGCACGTCGATAGTGAGAACCGGAGGGCTGACTTGGTCATCGCTCCGGTTTTTCTTCTTGGCCTCGATGCCGAGGCGGGCATCGGGGGCATTTTGTTGGATCTGAAGGCGTAGGTCGACAGCCGCCTGTTCCAGCCCGGCGATGACCCTGCCCTCGTGAGGCCTGTGAGAGGCTTCGGGGGCGTTGACGTCGCCGAAGGCCAGGTTCTTGTCTTCTACGTTCTTTGAGTTGGCACGTGTTGTTCTCACCATTTTGATAGAGGGCTAGTGTTTTGTGTTTGGTCGAGGGGGGGGGGGGTTCTTACTCGATTGTTCGACCTCTCAACGAGAGCACCAAATGATGGATAGTCTACCCGGGGGTATATATCCGAAGGGTTATTACGGGGAATAACTTAGAGAGAAGTCAGAGCAAGTAAGTAAAAGTAGAGAGAGAGTGTATTCAGTATGAATGCCGTTTTCAGCGTGGTTACAAATGAGGAAATGGGGTGCTATTTATAGTAGCAATAAATGCCAGGCAGGGACACGTGTCAAGCGCTCATTGGCCGAGGGGTCACCTCAACTGGTTGGCGTTGGCAGCCGCATGTGGCCGCATTTAATGCGGCTGTTGGATGGGACGTCTGTGCGGGGTACGGTGATCTGTACGCATGTGAGGCGGATATCTTGTCGAGTGAGATGCCTTCGGCTATAGAGCAGTAGCCGAGGGCTCTTTCACCCGATGGCACCCTGGTGCCGAGGGCTCACAGTGCCGAGGGCTACTGTTTTCGCCGTTTTCTCCCAGTTTCTTAATCTGCTTGAGAAACCCGTTCTGTGAGAATTTGGAGCTTTCGGCCAGGGGACCGAAGGCACCCCTGGCGCGTAGTGCGGGCTGCTTGGTACTCTGGGCGCTGTGATTTTGGCCTGCTGGGCCTTCTGGGCCTGTTGGGCCTTCGATGGAGTAGTAGGAGTCTGTGGGCCGGGGGTTCCCGGGCCATATACTCCATCAACTAGTTTTTAAAAACATTTGAAAGATAATTAGTTAATTATAACGGTTCTTTTCCAAATTGAATAGGATATCAATAGATGCTAAGACATTTCTAATATTTCGCATGATTAAACATCGAATTAATGAAACCAGAACAAGCTCCGCCTTTTAAGGTGAAACATCTAACAATTCTTTAAAAGGTAAAATGTTATAAAACACCTTATAAGGTGAAATAAGATTGGTGAAATATAAGGTATTTATTGATTGTTAAGTTCTTGTTCAACACCCTCTTATGATTAAACATTTCCCATCAATATATTCATTTATTTTTTTCGTCAATTCATGTATAGTCGTGTCATAAGTTTTCTTTTTCTTTTTTCAAAGGGGCCCATCACCATAACTATAGATCAAGTTTACTCTAATACAATGTTATGACATGAGGTTTCATATTAAAAATTAAATGAAGAGTAATTCAAGATCTTATATAACAATTTAATAATTACTACTAGTGTGAAAGCTACTTTAATAATACTTCAACATTAATTGGAACAAAGTAAGAAAAATAGAAACAATATAAAAAATAAAAGAGCATAAGGTGTTAAAAATTAAGCAAGAAGTTATGACCACAAATTATTTTAAAAGTATACATTAAATTATAACAAAATCGCCCTTGAACAATTCTTTTATAACACATGTTGTAATTATATCCTTTAAAAAAACATACATATTGCTATTATAATAAGAGAGTATAAATTTAAGAAATGATCTTTAATATGACGAAACATAGCACTCGCTCCGTATTTTAATGTTTGCTACACTATCCTTCTTTTGATGTATTTAAAAGTTTGCTACGTTTTTCTTTTTTGATTAATTTTTCCTATACAAATACTCAATTACCTTTACTTTTTCTACTTTTTATCTTCTCTTTCATGCTTTTCACTGTCTCTCCTACTTTTTCTACATTATTCATTACTCCTGCTATTTCATCCCTAAACAATGTGTCCAAACCTACTACAGTGAACATTGAAATACGGAAGGAGTATAAAATTTCAAAATTGGTGAATTATACTTTTATTCCATAAATAGGAGTAATTATCAGGTAGTTTAGTACGGCATACCAGATATTTTATTTCATATTTTTGCTGTATCGAAATTTTGCATGTGTAGAAATACATATTATTACCTTATTGAAGCTTCAATATACTGAGATTTTGGTATTACGTTATCAGTAAAATACCATGTCACACTAGAATTTCATTACAATAAATTTATAAGTCTATATTGTCAAATGAAATATACAATACTGGTGTAGCTTGTGGTACAAATCATGTTGCCATATTAATTTATGTCCAATTGTCCAGTTAGTGCTGCATCACAATTGGTGTTACTAGTGATGTACAAATAGGGGTTGACCCGGGCCGGGCCAGTTCCAGTTCCAGGCTGGGCCCGAGCGGGCTTTTTTCCAGATACTTGGGCCCGGAACCGGTTCGGGTTGATACCGGGTCCGAGCCAAACTAGGCCGGGCCAGTCCGGGCCGGTTCAATGTATAATTTTTTTTTGCTTTCTTGTTATCAACCGACCCCCCCCCCACCACCACCCCCAAAACCTCGCCAAAACACCCAACCCTACCCAAGAAAAAGAAAAAAAATTGAAAACCCCAAAAAAAAATTGAACCGGGCCCGGCCCGAACCGCCAGGGCCGGTTCATGGTCTAGACCCGAGCCAGGCCCGCCAGAACCACCCCAACCGGGTAAATGCCCGGAACCACCCATCCGGGCCCAGTCCGGTCCGGTTCCGGCCCGGCCCGGCCCAGTCCATGCCTATGTACAAATCATGCTGCCATAATACTCTGTGTTCAAGTTTTGATACCATTTTCTTTCAAATCTTTTACGTACCACATTAATAAATTAGGTGTTGCACCTTAAAACGTAGAGTATTAAGGTGTTTTAAACGATTATTAAGGTGTTTTAATCACCTTGTTAAATCAATAAATACCTAGAAAATGAACCAGAACAAACCAAACCACACAGCTGCAGTTCTATGTAATGAACTGCAAAGACCGAACCTAACAAAATATACTAGGATTTTGTTCGGATTTCGGTCAAAGGTGAAGCATTTTTACAGAACCCACCTCTTGGTATCATTAGAATTGTGAGAATGCAGATGCATGAATGATAAGCTTTTTCAATGAGGTATTAGATGCCATGGAGAAATTGGGAGATTACAAACCATAGCCTAATGAAGATACATTACATAGAACAATCCTAAGCAACTAGATCATCTTCGAGGTGATTGTACTCGAATGTAAAGTCATTCTTGATCCTCTGACACCTGTATCAGATATATAAACAAACATTGATAAAGCATTATAGATATTTTATTTCACGGATAAGACACCAAGCAACAAAATTCGTGAAAAAATAAATCATACCAGCCATGTTCATCATTGGCGATATGGAAATCAAAATAAACATATGTCCCTTGTTCATAATCATCTGTGGCAATCTTAGGCTCCTCGTGCCGCTGAAACCATGTGTTGTACTTTCTGTGGTATCTCCAAGATTGCTTTTTCAGCTCCTTTGCTGCCAAGTATTGTTGATATGTGTTCTACATATATTGTGCAAGAATAACATAGTGATTATTTTGGACCATTTTGGCCTGTACTTAAAGATAACGGGGGGCAACACACCTGTTGGTAGTAGAATGCAAAGAATAAAGTGTCAGTCCCATAGTTGTCAGCTCCTAGTCGTTCCCAAAATGAGGAATTATTAACAATTGGTGCCTGCACTTGAGGGTAGCTTGAAGGGGTCACCGCATGATGCCTCTGTCAAAATGCCAAATGCATGTATAACTTGAAATGGCACAAAATGTTCAAAGACAAGAGTAAATCTTCTGAGAGACAAGACCAAAATGTAACCCCTCCCCCCAGAAATTTAATACTACCTCTGTCCCAAAAAACTTTGTCATTTTCAAAACTTTGACCGACTATACTTTTTTATTGATAATTATTTATAATATAAAAATTATACGAAAATGTTCTTTGTTAAAAGTACTTTCATAAAAGTATAAAATTTATAAATTCCATAATATTATACTAATCAAAATCAATGATCAAATTTTTTGAAATGGCAAAGTTTTTTGGGATGGAGGTAGTACAGTATAAAAAAATTGATCAGGTACCCCAGAAATGGCACAAAATCTTCAAAGATGATGTTAAATTTAAGAAATCCTACTTTTAGTTTCATACTTTTTGTATGTTTAACTAAACTTTTGATATTTAAATTGCTTGTATGACTACTGTTTTGGAAAATTAGATAAAAATGTAGTTTCTTTTATTGAAAAATGACTCTAAATTGGGTACAAAAGAATATTTAGAAACATGAACATAGTTTTTTACGCTTACTACAAAAGTAAAAGTAAATGTTATAAAAACTGTTTCTTCTTTTTTCAAAAAAGTAAATCTTCTTCCTTAAAGGTATTGTAACACTTTGGTCACATCTCACAGCAATATCACCTCATAGGTGACCAATTTCGTCTCTGTAAGTAATATGCTTATTTGCCTACAGGTGTATAGCTTTTAGCACGCTCAGAATCTTTTGGCTGAGGGAGTTTGTAATAAGCAGACTCGAGCATTTGTAAGTTGTATAACAGGTCATGCGCTCCTCCAGGATTTGCGGGTGGTGAGGTCAAGTTGTCACCAATTGCACCAAGATCAGCTGCACTTCTTCGACCGATAACTCCAAGGCTACCACCTGAGGGCTGATTTGATTGTAATGGCTGCCCAGGAGATAAATCAACAATATCCCTTGGAAGCTTCTGAGGTTGCTCTGCAACAGAGCTGCCCACTCCACCCTGCAACAGAAGAGTGTGTTAAACATGCATGCGTTTTCAATAATTAATGTGCGCCTCTAAAACAAAATTAATGCATACATATGCCAATAAATTAATAATTAATGTGTGCCTCTAAACAAATGCATGTGTTTTCAAAAACAACCCTCACTACCCATTACTCCCTCCATCTAAAAAAGCCCTGTTTCAACAACTTGTTGTGTCCCGAGTGGTTTTTAGAAGTAACTTCCATTTAAAGTAAAATTTCTCTAAAGCCAAGCGAGCAGTTTAGTCATTTCCAAAAATCTTGGAAATAAGTTGTAGGGATATGATATAAGTGACCATTCATAACTTTTAAAACTTGTACCTTTGAAATGGCTAAAATTAAAAAGTTGTATATTCCTCAAACATGACATTTTTAGAACTGAGGGAGTAGTGGCAGTTTTAGCAAATTATGTGCAAGGAAACATGGAGCATTTTCTGAAAGACTATTTTACTTTCCAAATTAAATAAATCAATCCAGGAAAATGTGTTTTTTCTTACAATGATGGAAGGCGGAAGAATTAAACTCTACAAATCACTTCATCATCCATTTAGCAACTTTTCAAAGTAATCAGGTCTCTCATGAGTCATGACCCTATGTTACAAATGGATATATAACACAAAAAACTACACTTACGGGCGTATCAAATGCATAAGCCTTAAAATCATCCTCATTTATGAGATTCTTTACAAGGCTCGGGGAAGGTGCAGGAGAAGGAGCAGAATCTGTCAAAACATCTTCAGACAGGATCTGTTGTTGTTGCAACTCTTCAACCTTTGAGTGCCTCCCAACGTCTGCAACATTATATGCAAAAATTTAGTAGCTATGTATGAAATATCACTACCTTGGTTGTTCCATAAAACAATTTTAAATCATGAATTTTTCAAGAGTAAATTAATCACAGGGAGAAATAACTACTATTAATATTAAACAAATTCAAGTTCTTTATATCAATTTCCTACTTAATATTGATAATTCATGCCTTAACAGTTAGATGGTCAAAGGGTCACACCTGATTGCTGCTGCGATAGTCCAGATGAAGTAACATTATTAAGGGAAGCAGCAGGGGGCCCTGTTCCCAATCCAAGTTGAGGAGTCACAGAGGAGCCTTGAGAATTAAACTGAAACAAAATGGAAGTGTATATAACATTTGAGATTAAGAGCGAATGGAGTAAGACCCCTCAATAAAACATTGCTCCAAACATTTGAGAAAATAATGAAGAGCATTATGTCATTATGTGTGTTGACTATAACATTAACTTTTCTTTAATGACGTTTCTGGTACATCCATGTCTCATTCAAAGAATCACATTTACGAATAAACAAGTTAAGAGTATGAAAGTATGTACGAAAATAGTGATAGTTTATCAATAGCGCAATTGATCAATATTAAATTCTATTATAAGACTATTAGATCATATGAAATTCTAATTGGTGGTGCAGAATGTTGCTGATAGAGAGCGGGAAGAGCATGGGGCGGGACCGGGCTTGGGCCCACTTCCGTGGGCCGAGTTAGGGCTGTCGTTATAGTTTAATTATTATTATTAAGTTAATGTTATGTTTTAGTTTGGGCCTATTATTAGTAGAGTAGTTAGTTGAGTTAATTTGGGCTTAATTAGGGTTTAATTAATATGGGCTTGATTAGGGTTCTTGTAGAAGGCTATTTATACCCCTCGCCAGGGTTCATTCTTATTATCTTGGAATAAAGTTAGAGTTTAGCCTTTTGGCTTTGGGCAACGGTATTTTTATCGTTGATTATCTGGGCAACGGTTCACCCCGTTGATTTCTATTTTTCCGTTACATATCAATTGGTCCGACCTGCCGGATCCCGTCCCGCCGGAATGATGAGATCAACCAACGAACGTTTATCAGAATTGGAGGCTGAACAGGCCCTAATCAATCAAAAACTTGACACGCAAGGACAGAAACTTGATCTGCAGGGACAGAAACTTGACACACAAGGTCAGAAACTGGAAGAGCAGGCCGCCCAGCTTGCGGAAATCGCAGCCTCTCTTGCAACAATCGTGAGGGCCATGGTGCCGCCGCAGAAATCTCCCATCGCGACCGTCGAGAGCGATTCCTCCGGCCACGTCACATCTGTCTTCTCCGATGATGGCGGACTGCGCACCGCAGCCACAACGCTACTTCCCTCGTTCGATGGCGAAGACCCAATTGGGTGGTTGGCGAGAGTGGAGCAGCAGTTCGAGCTCAACATGACCCCACCAGACAGACAAGTTGCAACGGCTAGGGTTTCTATGGAAGGGGCCGCCCTCTATTGGGTGACGTGGTTAAAGGCGCGCAAACTTGGCATATCTTGGGAGGAATTTAAGCAAGCCTTGGTGGCCAGATTTGATTCCCGATATCAGGGAAACAGGTTTGAACGGCTGGCCGGCGTCAAACAAATTGGGTCGGTGGAGGAATACAATACCTTGTTCGTTCAATTGACTAGCCAAGTTTCGGGATTGACTGACGATCATTATTTGGGCTACTACATGAGTGGACTTGGGGAAGCAATCCGAAGTTCGCTGCGCTTATTACGGCCAGAAAACCTGGAGACAGCCATGGAATTAGCTCACGATGTGGAGCATATTCTGTCCGTCCAAAGTGGAGGAAGTGGCATCCCGAATTATAATTCTGCAGGGGTACGTTCCAGCAGCTTTTTAATGGCAAACACGGGTCCTCCTTTGACTGCCAGCGGTGGCAGCTTGCAGGGATCAAGGGGCAGCTTTGCGAAGGATAGTGGACAGCCTCCGGGGACGAAGTCAGGGCTGTCCGGGCAGCCTACGACACGCTCTCAGTTCACTCGTCTTCCGCCAAAGGAGTTCGCAGAATTGAGGGCGAAAGGATTATGCTTTAGGTGTAAGAAACCATTTACATCGGGGCACGACTGTCCCTTTAAGCAACTGCGGGTAATGATAGCCGAGGAGGAGGAAGAGTTAGACCTCCGACAACATGAGTACGGTGAAATAACCGGCCAGGAAAGAGTTCAGGAAAAAGAGAAAGGATATTTTCCAGTCCATTCTATGTCTGGGAATTTCAGCTCCCCATCTGTCAGCTTTCAACCTTGAGGACAAGGTTATTTTGAAGGAGGATGGATTGATAGAGAGCGGGAAGAGCATGAGGCGGGACCGGGCTTGGGCCCACTTCTGTGGGCCGAGTTAGGGCTGTCGTTATAGTTTAATTATTATTATTAAGTTAATGTTATGTTTTAGTTTGGGCCTATTATTAGTAGAGTAGTTAGTTGAGTTAATTTGGGCTTAATTAGGGTTTAATTAATATGGGCTTGATTAGGGTTTCTTGTAGAAGGGTATTTATACCCCTCGCCAGGGTTCATTCTTATTATCTTGGAATAAAGTTAGAGTTTAGCCTTTTGACTTTGGGCACGGTATTTTTATCGTTGATTATCTGGACAACGGTTCACCCCGTTGATTTCTATTTTTCTGTTACATATCAGTTGCACACACACAAACATATACAGAGTATATAATAATCTTGATACATTTTGGACAGCTGCAGGGGAGCCGTGATCCAAGATGGTTTGGGTGATAAAGTTTTATTCTTAAATAGTTATTCTGTCCAATAGTCATTTTTGCCAATATTGTATTTCCGTATGAGATTGAACTTATTTTTCCCTCTGTCGTTTTGGACAAAACAGATTTATTTTAATGAAGCAACACCAAACTATGCGAGTAAATTAGAAAAGCACTTCATATGATCAATTCATATGATCAGACATAACACATGCACCGCTACATCCCTAGAAAGACAATATGATTTGTATATTAGATCATGTAGTAGATATGAAGTTAACATTAGCAGAGTACCATATATTCAATGTAAAACAAGACTACAAAAGTGAAACACAAGTTCAGAATCTACTCCTGAGTCCTGAGTATGCCATGGGCTTATTTATATGCAAACGTGACACCCTAATCAGCTTCTGTCGTTACTCCGCCAATGAAATCTGTAACCTCGTCGCCACCTTCAGCCTCATTGTCGCCACTGCCTCCAGTGATGTTGCAATCACAGCCCCTGAGGGTTCTACCGTCACCGCCATCAAAATCATCGACGCTGACTCCTTCCATTGCAATAGCAGTACCAATGCCTTGCTCGATCCCGAGTCCTTCGGGAGGATTCTATAGAGAGTTGACGGGAATAAGTAAAGATCTAAGATTCAAGGATTAGCTGCTTGTTTTAATCTTTCAGCAGCTTTGAGAAGCTCATCGCAACATGTTATCATCTCCGACTTAATAATACACCGGTGTTAGGAATATTTTATGGTGTCCAATCTAATTAAATATCTTTGTATTTGTGTAGTTATTAGTTAAACGTGTAATATGGGCCACAAATGTATATTAGCCTATTAGCTTCTTTGTAATCCATAAGTTAGTCAACTTCTCCTATAAAAGGAAGCTAACTTATGAAAATCTGAAGCATCGATCGAGGCTTTAGAGCATAGAGGCGAGATAGAGAGATTAGGTTTGCCGCTGCTCTCCTTCTGGAGGGAGAGCAGCGGCCTGTTCATACGATATACCAGATTCGTTGTTCATCTCCATATCTTTCTATCTGCGTCTTCTTTATCTTCTATGATTGTTTGATTGTTAAAGAATAGGGACTATCAATTGGTATCAGAGCCGAGGCGTGAAACAGGTTGAATCTATCTGCGATTTTTAGGATCTAACGAAGAACTGCTATGCTTTTCTTCTCTTTTTCTTTAATATAGAGATTTGCTCCTGTAATCTTGTTTGTGAACGAAAATCTGTACATTTTATACTGTTGGAATCGCCGTTTCAAAACGATTCTACAGAATATCTTCGTTTTCGATTTCTGTATTTTTTAAATTTCGAAGATCTCTACATTGAGATCTCGAGATACTAATTTTACATGGCTGCACAAACGATTTCGACTTGAAACTGATACAGGGAGAATCTCGACCTTCAGGGCTATTCAAAATAGTTTTCATTTTTTCAAAATTCGAAGTTTTCATTTTGCAGGATCTCAAAATTTGGGATTTCGAAATTTGGGATCTCGACATTTTGGGATTTCGATGTTTGAGATTTCGACATTCTGAAAGATTTCGAGATTTTAGGAATTTCTTGATGTTTTGAATTTTTCAAAGTTTGGAGTTTCTTGAAACTCGGAATTGTTCGTAGCTTGATATCTTTTGTTCAGAACATTTCGAAGCTCAAAATATAGGATTTTTAGATGAATCTCTGCTTTTCAAAGTTTTTAGAAGTTTTCGATGTTCTGATGTTTTTCAAACAGCAAGTTCTCGATATTCTGAGGTTTTCGAAACTCCAAAGTTTTCGATGTTCCAAACATTTTGAAATTCTGAAGATTTCGAAGTCTGGAGGTTTTGTTTTGCAGGTGGATTTTGTCATTATTTTTCAAGGCAAACTCGAGATTAAGATCTCAAAGTTTAAAACTCGAGATTGTAATCTCGAAGTTTAAACCTCGAGATTGTAATCTCGAAGTTTAAACCTCGAGATTGTAATCTCGAGATTTAAACCTCAAGATTGTAATCTCGACGTTTAAACCTCGAGATTAGGATTTCGAGGTATTGCCTTAGAACTTTCCTTAATGCCACCTGTTCTCGATATTCAACATCGAGAACCTCAACTTCGAAGAAATTCCTCAAAAACTCAAAATTTCGAGATTTGCAGCGACATCGCATTGTTTTGACCATAACTTTTGACTCGGTGATCCGATTTAAGAGATTTTTTTTGTTGGAAAGCTAACGAAAAGATTTAGATTTATTATAGGGGTTTACCCCAGAACCCTTTTTCACGCGCCCTCACGCGCAGTCCTTGAGTGTCAAATCGTTTGTTTTCCGACATTCCGACAAACTTTGTAAATCACCGATGTCAAGGTCAAAACTTAGGCAAATCTATTCAAATTCTTTCAATTTCAAGCCAAAGGTCAATGATTTTCAAAACTTCACTAGAGGTCCGAAAATCGTAGATAATTCAATCAACCCCGCGTCAACGATCATTCTACAACCATCAACAATCAACTGCTGAAGCCTCCCCTAACTCATCAACATTGTGTGATCATCAATATGCTGAAATTCTAAATGATGAGTTTAGGGAAACCGTCATGCGTGGTACTTGTTGAGATTGCTCCACACACATGGCGGGTATGACAAGCTGTGAGCAATCGACCCTTGCACATTCTGAGGGAGAGTTTCAGTTTTCTCCTCCTGGCGCCTTACACCAACAAAGCAAGGAATCTCTCAAAGGATGCAACATTTTGGGGGGGAGCTTTCAATGTTATCCTCCCTGATGCCTAACATTGACAAAAGCATACCGAGTGCTCCAGTTGAGGGGGAGTACAGAGAGAAAAAAAATAAATGAGAGATAAGTTCCAATGGCTTAGTAAACTCATTTAAGCCTACCCAAAGGACAAAGCCGAGAGTAAGTGAGTGGGTGAACATTATGAGCGTTAGGAAGCAGAAGGCTCAAGTGAGCAAGAAAACAATAATCAATGATAAGTCTGTTACCTCAACTGCCTACTATCCATTGAACATTTACTCCTAGCCACTCTAATTTTGGCGATCTGCGTTCCCGTTTTCGTACCGCGATCCATGTGACTATGATTTATTCAGATCCCGGGTAGAAGTCACTGCATCTTGTCCAACAGTGCATGCTTAACCATACCCAATACCACTCATTTGTCTCCCAACAGACAAGTGTTTAATCACATTTCACAGGGAATCTCATCTTTCATTACTGTCTCCTTCCGAGGCAAATGATACTGACTACAGTGGCCTCAGCCCCATGCCACTGAACTTTCATTGATCACGTTGTGTCTAGTTACCTCACTCCCAAAAGTTTTGAATTTTCTAGGACACAGACGCACTTTTAGAGTCAGTTGCAGGGCTTCATGATCTGCGAGAACTTCCATAGGGCTCATCTATTACAGATGTAGACCAATGATTGGATGGAAGTCTTGTTGTTGCAACATAAGAATCACCAACATTTTCAGGCCATTGCTTTAGAGTTTCTCTCTATAGTGATGATAACGGGTGTCTACATGACCCCGGGGGGCTACGGTATCGTAGCTGATCTTGATGATCATGCAATAACAACCAGAGTGACATCTATTCGGATGTGTCACAATACCTGGTTGGAAGTCCTGTTAGAGCTTTAATGTTTCTATCATTTTATACAGGCCACACATCGGTGTTTACATTGATGTTGTGTTAACAGAACACCTCAGTGTATCCGGTTTAGCCATTTTAACCTTTGTTTGTGTTTCTGTTTTGTTTCCCAGTTCGAATAAAAGAATAAAGGCATGGCGCGCCGATTCATCGGATCGTCATGAGGGGGAGAGTGATCCACATGATGTTAAATGTCACCAAATCATTCTCGGACACTTCTCTCCTATCAAAAATTTCAACGACTCTCTTCTTATCTCTACACCTCAAATGGTCAGCTACGCTCACAAGTCAACCATCATTTTCCGTTGTGCCACTGACAAGGTCTCCTAAAACGCATTCACTTCAAATAGTCAAAAAGACTACATTGTGGAGGAGACAAAGGTCACATAATCGAATTCTGAAGATTATTTCCATGTGCGTCTGCAATTCTTCAAGAACATTCATTCTAGAGGCGCCACCGGACTTCATTCAAGCGGATCAAGAGCTACTTCTGAAGGCAAGGTTTACAAGCAAGACAAAGGAAGAATCCTCAACCCCCGACATCAAAGCTCAAATTGCCAAGAAGACATCAAAGGGGAGATTGCAAGGATTTCTTCAGAAAGCCTTCTCAAGAAGTCAAGTTTAAAGACAAAGGAAGCTGAGTAACAACAAAGACAAAGATATCTGCGCTGCAATGCTGATTCAACACGATCGAACACCAAGGGAGAGATTGTTAGGAATATTTTATGGTGTCTAATTAAATATCTTTGTATTTGTGTAGTTATTAGTTAAGGTGTAATATGGGCCACAAATGTATATCAGCTCATTAGTTTCTTTGTAATCCATAAGTTAGTCAACTTCTCCTATAAAAGGAAGCTAACTTATGGAAACCCGAAGCATCGATCGAGACTTTAGAGCATAGAGGCGAGATAGAGAGATTAGGTTTGCCGCTGCTCTCCTTCTCGAGGGAGAGCAGCGGCCTGTTCATACGGTATACGGTATAGCAGATTCGTTGTTCATCTCCATATCTTTCTATCTGTTTCTTCTTTATCTGATATGGTTGTTTTATTGTTAAAGAACAGGGACTATCAACCAGGATGCTCATGCAATGGCCTACAATACTATGCAGTATTAGGCAAAAATAGTAGGGAGGTAACGGCTGTCAGCATAGTTGCAGGAGGGAAACGGGAAACCTGCTGATCTTAATTCTGAAATTGTTTGAAGGGTTCATGATCATTAAAGAAGGCAGACTAAAGCACCTATAGACTGATCTTAACACTTTACTAGTCAACTTAAAATGGATCAAGTAGACTATAGACCGAAAGGTGGTGAAACAGACAGTAATGAGCTCGCCTTACCAGTAATGACTCCTGTTTGTGGCGAATGTGAGCAGATCCAAAGAAAGTTAAAGGAAAAGGGTCTTATTACAGATGATACGATTCTTTCCAGGGTCATTATAAGCTCGCCTTACCAGTATCTGCAAAATGAGTATCTCCGTAGTCCAACAAATCGAGAGTGCCATCACATGTGGATTATTTGTTTTCTGATGACGCCATTTGATCGTGGAAAGGTTGCTATTGTGGGTGACTTCGTTCAAGGTTGACGACAAGCTTGATGTCTACAAAGGAAGCAATAATGTGAGTGGTGTCTCCTGTTAGGACCACATGAAAGCCGAAAGGACCGAAGAGGTCTGATTATTTTTAGGAGAATATGAGTCATATGATTATTATTACTATTAGTATTATTATTAATACCATTAATGTTATACTGTTATTATTAGTTACTAGTAGATTCAGGTTGGTGTTGATATTGTTACCCTATATGATTAAGATTCTTGTAATAGCTATATGCGGTTCTTCAATAGATTAATAAACTACCTTTGAAGAATTAATATGTCTGTGTCTTGAGTAGGTTGGGCACCTATTTCTCCCATGTGTATTCCGAAACTCTCTCTCTCTCTCTCTCTAAAGCAACAGATATGGAAATCCTGAAGGATGCATCCATAACTCTTTTTCTTCCTCTCTCATTCTAGCCCTTGGCCGAGATCCCTACCGCACTCATACCAACAGCATATTCATCATTGGATAGGTCACAGTAACCATTTCATTTTAATTATTTACAACTTGCACCACCAAAAAGAATATAAAGTAGAAGTGAAATCAAACATAGATTTGAATCATCATCATCATCATTACCCCAATGCCGCAGAGGCTCAAACATAGATTTGAATGTTTAAGAAAAATCATATCTTCAAGGAATCTAAAAGCAATACCTGAGGGAGAAGTGGATTCTGATGCTGTGCATAAAACTGTTTGTGGTTTCCAAGAATATTACTCTGACCCTGTTGTTGCACTTGCTGAAACCGTTGTAAAAATTTCTCCCTCTGGTCAGGAGCAATTTCAGTTCTCCCACGAAACTGTCCCTACAAGGTAAAAACAGAAGTTAATCTATAATGTAATCCTCAACTATATATTAACAAGGTTAAGTAACAAGTTAAGCGGAATATCTAAATGTCGAGAGTAGTTCTACTTCAACAAAGATAGACTGAGAGCTTCCTACACTATAGCAAAGGACAAAATGTCTAGACTTCAGAGTGGCCATATGGCTGCATGGAAAAGAAGAAACAACATACCTCAAGAGCACAAAATAATCATTTAAATATTTACATCCATTAATGCCATATCTCTAGAGTGTGAGGTGAGTGATGGACAATAAAATAAGCTCGGATAACGAATCAAAATGGAATGAACCCCACATACCACTTCATTCTGATTCTGAAAGGAACTTCCAGGCCTCCACTGCATTCCAGGCACAACAGGAGAGAAAACCCTCCCACCCACAACATTGGACTCACCAGCATGACCACTTTCACTAGTGTCCATTCCCTCACTAGACTTAGCAGCTTGTGGCATGTTCGGTCGGTTGACCAAAGGGGACACAAGAGGCTGCCCCGTGCCAGTACTCCCAAGTCTTTCATCATAACCAAAACCATGTCTCTTTGTTACTTCTGAAACAGAAGTAGCACCTATAGCTCCATTGTTAGATAGTGAATTAATAGAACCAAGTGAAATGCTGGTTGCAGGTTGACTAGAGAGGCCATTTCTATCAATGTCCCTTAATCCAGATTCAGTGTGTGGTGGAGATGCTTTCCGACCAGGGAATCCAGTAATCTCCTCAGCTTTTATAGCACTTGGCACATTCATAGGAGATGAAGCAACAGCAGTAACTGCATGTTCCAATAGACCATAACAAGAACCAAGACACGAAAACAGAGGCCAAATCAGTGGACATTATTAAGTTAAGGGAAGAGGTCAGCACCAGGGATTGCACGGGGCCCAACAGGTGTTGCTGGAACTGGAGAAGAAATTGCACCACTTTTAAGAGGTGGGACTCTAGCAACTGCATCAGAGGTACTACTCTCTTGGTAACCTATTTCATCTGTTTGCTCTTGGGAGGGACCGCTTAGCAGAGGAGTAGGTGCTATTGTTACCTGGAAAGAGGAATCAACCAAGTAAGGTCAAATAACAATTAAGTAAAACCATACAACTGATTGAAGAGGCAATGGTATATAAATCAAATCAAGCATCAAAGTGAATGACTTCTAGAGCAGGAAGAGTTTATGTTTAGCTGAGCATCTAGCTAAACAATATGTGAATCAAATGGGAACTAAATATTTTTAAAAATGTCTTTCAAGTGTCATATTAACATCTAAACCAAGCAAGCAAAACCATCCGGTATATTCTGCTTGTAAGCAGAGTTTGGGGAGGGTGAGATGTACATAGATCTTATTCTTGCCCCAAGGGGTAGAGAACTAGAGATGCTATTTCAGAGGAGGCCCTCAGCAAGTAGTGAAATGTAGTGTGGGCAGCATGAAAAGTAAGCTAGAAAATAACACACTGTAAGCAAGTAAAGCAAGTAAGCAAATAATCATGCAAACAGCATACCAGTAAGTGTCTTTGTCAAACAACGTGAAATGACAAACACAACCAACTTAACCGACCACATGCCCCCCAATAAAAAGGAAAACTAAAGCGTATGAAGATGCATTTGTATTATTTTATACACCATTCAATGATCATTATGATGAGGAAATTTAAGACATACTGACGGAAGAGAAGGTGTTGCGGCAATAGAAACTTTTGTGCTAACTACAGCACTAACACCCTGCAAAACAAAATGGAAATAACTCAAGCAAAAAATACTCTACTGTATGCGTGTGTGAACAGTAGATATTCTGATATTCATGCTAAGATTGCAATCAGATATTGAGAACGGGAAATAGGAAACTACACAACAAAGTGCAGTGAAACATATACAAACTATGTGTATACAAGCTTTTTACAGGTGCTGGCTTGAAAAAAATCAGCATTCACCCCAACAACTTGGTGTATCATAGTCCTCACTAGGTAAAGCCTCAATACAAAAGAACGAGTTAAAACTATAGTGCATTGAGGAAAAATGCTTTTTGTTAGTTTTGAAGTATAGCATAGAGGTTTGTTAGGAATAGTGTAGGAAAACTACACTATTCCTAACAACCCTCTATGCTATACTTCAAAACTAACAAAAAGCATTTTTCCTCAATATTATTTCTTGGTGGTCCAGAAAGCAACTAAGGGTAGCCAGATCTTCAGCAGAAGCTGAATATAGAAGCCTAGCAGATACTACATCAGAAATTTTATGGGTCCAATTCCTACTCAAAGAACTTCAAGCTCCTTTCACTCTTCCCAGAATCTACTGTGACAACCTTAGTACAGTGCAACTAGCTCACAATCCTGTTCTGCATACTCGTATAAAACACATGGAAATTGATCTTTTCTTTGTACGAGAGAAAGTCCAACTAAAACAGCTTGAAGTGTTTCACATTCCAGCCTCCCAGCAAATTGCAGATGTGTTGACCAAGCCTCTATCTGCTTCCACCTTTCTTGAGTTCAGAAACAAACTCAGTGTGATTGACTTTCCAACTCAATCACCCTCAGTTTGAGGGGGGAATGTTAGGAATAGTGTAGGAAAACTACACGTGTATTTCTTTGTAAAGCAATGTAACTGCTTTCTGTTAGGCTTCGGTTATGTTAGCTATGACTACTTCCTGTATAAATACTCTGTAATATCTGATTCTAAGTAAGATAATTTCATTTCTGCTTCTACCTTGCTTCATTTCTATTAAGGTTAAGCCATTTGGTATAGACCCGTTAGATTTATATACTCGTATAAACTTTGTATTAGTCTTTAGAAGTTGTCAAGTTAAAACTTTAGCAGTGTCTTTGAACATCATATCAATACATCATAGACTATTTTCATCCCTAATTTGTAATCCGCCATGAACAGTAGTTCACAGTGGCTTCCCAACTCAGTTGGTACATATTTTGTCGTTGTTTGAGAAAACCAATGACACCTATTATTAGTTCAGATCAAGTTAGATGCAGTTCACAATCACTTCCAGCTTTCGTTATTGAGAAACATGTTTGTGTCAAGCTTGAAGCATATGATCTAGATGCTCCAATTGGGGGAGTATTTGAAAATATAGAAAATGTAGGCTAAGCTATCAGGTTAAGAGCCATTATCTTATATGGACATTTTATCAATAAAAACGTTGTTATTCGACATAAACTTTATAGATCCTGAACATATAGGTATAAAACCAGCATTTATAAATACAACTTTTGAGAGGCAGTAAGTCAGTAACCAGAAATTTATATGTTGATGGTACTAAGGTTTAGAGGGTACGAAATAGATTATGGTGCGGACATTATAATCCCCAAAAGATCATCTTGAAAAGTAAATGCCCCATTGAATAGTCTTTAATTTGGACAGCGACCCAAGAGGTAGCAGTCCATTGACTGGTTGGCTCATATTTCATGTTTAAAATTAGTGTAATTGATGCAAGATATAAACATAGGAGACAACCTTATAAGTATTGAATAAGGGGTCAAATACTAAAAGTGGGAGAAATACCTGGATGATAGATTTTCTTATGAAGCTTAAAACGGCTTGCCAGGCACGAAATAAGCAAAAATTAATTCACATATTAGCAAAAATAAAGTCACATCAAGAGGGATATGTTACCTTGACAAGACCAGTGGCACCAATGGTGACTAGATCTTCAAGAGCCTCCACCTTATCCAAAGGTAGAGAGCTATAAAGCTCGTCAACATCACTAAACTCATCAAAGTCATCCTACAATTTGACAGAAAAAAATCAGGATGCATATATCACAATGAACAACCTCAAATGAAAGTCATGTGTGTCTATATGCCTGGAAGGCTGGAATCCATATATGACATTCTCTTTACCACTTTTCGTTTAATGGGGAACTTGGATTAATCTTGGGAATTTTATTCTTACAACTAATACTTTGGAAGAGTCTTATTTTTTACATTTTACAGTTGCACTTATCAGTATAAAAAGTTTGACTCGGATTGTAATCAAGTTCAAACTTAAGAATATAGCTGAAATTACAAACTTAATGGCATACAAGGAATGCTGAAAAAGAATAAAAGTTCTCAACTAACTTCTCACGTTAAACTCTCTGAAGATATTTTCCATTGAATTGTAACAAATATAAAAGTTTCTCAAAAAAGTTTCAAGTTGTTCTCTCCTCTGCGTTTTTCATTGATTTGTGTTGTGCTTCAAATGCACCGGAAATAAACAATGCCTAACAGCTTATTTATGTCATTACCAATATTCTTTGAATAACATCCCATCATTTACTTCAAAAAAACCACGATATCATCATTTACTTCAAAAAACATGACATCATCATTTACTTAAAAAAGCATGCCATCATCGTTATTATAGGCATAAATAGAATTTTTTAAACACAATAATCTTAATTGACAAGTGCAACCTGATTGCGTTCCACATAGTCATCCAGGAAATCTTTGACATCATTGACTTGCTCTGGACTCAATTCATCATTATCCAGTAACCTTAAAATCAACTCTAACTTCATTATATGTGCCCTGTGCCGAGTAATTGATGTCTCCAAATGAGTCTGCAAAACAAATCTTTTATCAATTATGAGTGTATAGATATAGCACATAATCTTCTCAATGTTAATTTTGTTAAGACGTTTCCCTTTACCAATCTCGGGGGCTTTGATTTCCCTTTTTTAACAGTAAGTCCCTCCAATTCAGCTTCAAAGCTATCAATTTGGTTTTCAAGCTCACTAACCTATGCAAAAGAAAACATTTTAAATTCAAATTAGTCATTAAAACCAACATAAACTCATCTTAAGTGACAAACTGACAACAAGTCAACAACAGAAAGACAAGTGTACATGTAAGAGATTGATTATAAAGCACTTGGAATCAGAGTACATTTATATGTTGAAAGTATGACCGTAAATAAAAAAACTTCACAATAAATAGCATGAAATGTGCAATCAACTCTCTACCACATTGTTCAACCAATCTCTAGTCTCTGATTTAGCCTTTTCCTTCGGGTCCTGGCAAAGAAGAAGAAAAACAGAATGACCACTAACTTGAAGCTAAGTTTAGCATAACTAAAAGCTTATTGCGAAGAAGTTAACATAATCAAAATCATATTTTCAAAGCAAATACTGTAAATACAAATTCCAAACCTAATAGCATGGTTGGAATAGCTTGCACTAGAAGTGCTTTTATAAGATGTGGTTTCTCATTTAAGCAGTAAAAGATTGTTCTTTAGAACGCTCCACTCCACAGCTTTCTTAAAAATAGGCATAAAAGAGTATTTATTAATTAAAAGCATTTCTAAATTCTCTTTTCAAAGGGTACTTTTTTATTCAATAAAGCTGAAAAGCATTTGTCTTTGAAAATAAGTTATCACATACACCCTTAAGACGTTAAGACTCCAGAGTGCTAAGCACCATGTAAAGACTAAGAATATGTTTACAGAATCGAATACTAGTGCAATCTTAAATTTTAATAGCCCAACTGAAAGTTCATGATGTTCAAAATTCAATATTTTGGTAACCACCAGCTTTAAGCATGATCCTAATCTAAACCAACATACCCAAATGTATCAATTCAAAAAGACTAGTCTTAACTCCCCAGCATAACCAATCTAATTATTAAACATCAAAATCAACTTCAATTTTTTATTCAGTTGAACCAATAAAGGGCTTGCAAGCTTAAGAGCCCGTTTGGTAGCACGGAAATCGGCTGATTTGCCTGATTCTGCTGAAATTTATAAAGTTCTGGCTGAAGTGCCTGCATTGGCTGATTCTGCTGATTTAAGAAACAATTATTTTTAAAATATATTTTATTAATAAAATAAAGAAAAAATTATATGTAAAGATAACTAAAAATGGTCATCTACAGTAACTTCAGCCAATACAGCCAGAAAAGTAACTTCAACCTTACTTTTTCTGCTTATTACACAATTCAACGCGCGAAAGCAAAAATTACGTATTTGGTGAAAATGTTGGCTGATAAGCCTGATAAGCCGAAACACAATGTTGCCGAACGGCCTCTAAGTGTGGGCATAATGAGAAAGTTGGGTTGCTGATGTTGTAGGAAAAATTGATGATGTAGAGAATTTAACTTAATATATCCTTAAGGCTATTATTCAAATTTTAGAAGAGAGAAGGGAGAAGAATGGAAATGGAACCTTCCGTCCTCTTTGTTTTCTGCCAAACACTTACAAGAACAAAGAATTTTTAATGTAAAATAAGTAAACATGCATGTCTGCACTCACTTCAAATATTAAAATAAAATATTCCCAAGCAAACACACAGAGTTATTAGGTAATTACATTTCTTGCAACTCAAAATACATAAACTCTACACAACCATGTATGCAGAGCATGCCAATGCTCACCGTCTTTGGTTGTTGGCCCAACCCTTCCTTGGAAAACGCCTTGGTCTTTGTTTCTTTCTCGCATATTTTAAATCTTTCCATTTCACGCTCAATGAGCTTGCGAGCATCCATTAATGCCTGCTCATAAGAAGCACTTACCTATGTCAATGAATATCAAAGAAATTCCCATCAGCACTTGTTATACGTACTAAAGTCTAAACTCTAAGGACATCACACAAATGCATGAAGTATTGGATGATAAAGAGAACCAATAGTAACAAAAAGTATAGTTAGGTCATGATGCGTTCAAGATGCTAGCATATAGACACTACGAAAGCAGGGTTATATCATACAAAGTGTAGCAAATGATGACTCAAGCATAGCATCTTCGATTACCTAGCTAGCAACACACAACCAGAAAATTATTGCACTCAAACTAGTATGCCAATCTGTTGATTAAACACCGAGCAGCACATTACAGCCACCGTTCAGGACACTGAGCCTAATCTTTATAAACAAATTATTATTTCCTCCCAATAAATAACTTTGGTTGAAAACAGTCCTGTATGATTTTCAAGTTATAAATGAAAGTTTACTGAAAAAATCTATGCCTAGTGCAGACCTAATTTTACGATTGAGGTTGGTGCTTGAAGAGTAACATCTACTTGGAACTAGAGCGCACTAACTAGCCTCCCAATCAAATATGATCAATAAAACCAAGTTACCCGCAAAATACTAGGTGATTTCCTTGATGCAGTTGCTGGGTAACTTGGTTGGGGTAAATGTGAACATTTCAATAAATTGAAGATAGTCTGGAGTGCTAACATAGTTTTGGAAGATTGAGATAATACCAATCATGAACCTGATAATGATTAAGAATTAAGAATTTAGGATTTAAGAGCGTGTCATAGAGTGATGGAGTCGAGACAAGTGCAATTAGGCACTCAGACTTCATTTAAATTGTTTGAACTTCAAATGCTTTATGAAACATGGCATTAGTCCTAGATTATACTCCATAGTTTTTTGCTTCATCTATAATCTATATAAGTGTCTACGACTGGTGTTATGAGAAATCTGTAAAACATGATTTATATTTTACCATTACAATACCAAGTACTCCCGAGTAGCTACCATAAACCAGATAAGGCATTAACAGCTTAGTTTTCAAGAACTCGCACAATTTGTTTATATCTTATCAAACTACAAAGTACTTACTTACCCAGAAGTTGTGACAATTTACACTATCTTATGTACAATGAAAGGAAAAAAGACAGCGGCAAGGAACCTTCTTATCCTTAATTTCGCTTGACTGAATCCATGTCTTAATTTGGTCCCTGTACCTCTGGAGCTTCTTAATCTCCTTCTTCAAATCCGCCTCAAACTTCTCCTTCTGGTTGGCATTGTCAGTATCGTAGACCTAGCCATAAAATTCAGTGAATAAAACTGAACACGAAATTCAGCTAATCCCCACTTCTCAGAAAGATGAGAAATGAATAACTCGCGTCCAAGACATAAATTGGCAGGAAAAAGTTAGCTAAGAAAGCAGACAAATAGCACCTTGTTCCAAATGCTGTCGAAGAGATCGACTCCCTCCTGAACCTTCTTCAACACTCGATCAATTTCTCCCTGAAGCTTCCGACTGGCTCCCATTGCGAGTCTATACAAGTTCTAGCAGTCTTATGATAAGGATTTTATACAGAGGTTCGGTTTCTATATCAATCGCGAGCAATTTTGCTGAAGTTTCAAACTCTATCTGACATATACATACTTCTTCTTGTTGTTGTACGGAGAGTGGCACACAGTACTGTGGCTATCGCCTGATAGAATACAGGTTTTATAGACGAAGGATGTTATTACGTACGGAGAATGTACTTCAGAACCAACCCACAAATTTGGAACCATGCTAATATTAAGGTTATGTTTTTCGGAACGAGCTGAAGGGGAGTTGAGAGTTGTTGACTGAATTAAAACTATTGTCTTGAATTGAATTATGAAGTGCTCAATCTGAACTGAAAGCTAAATGGAGTATACTCGTTTGGCATAAAGAGTTGATACGGTGACTAGAAAATATAAAATTACGTTAAAGGGCATATACATATTATTCCAAAAATTATTATAATGATTTTTATATTTTAATAAATGTTAAGATTATAGTATGTATGTACTTCGTATATGAAGTAAATTTTTTTCAAAAAACTGCACTTTAAGTGATACCATTGATACGTGGTATTATCCGAAATGCAAAACACAAAGAAAATATATGAAATTCAAACAATGCTCTGTATTGATTTTTATTAGAAAATAAAATTTCGATAATCTTCCTATAGTGTTCTGAACACTATAATGTTGTTCTGTTATGTGTTCCCTACTTCATTCTAAACTATAATGATGAATTACATACACCTCTTGGTTAATGGGTGAAACAAATTCAACCAGAGAGTTGTGTCGTCAATTGTATATGGGTATATCCTCAATTTTCAATTGAAATTCGTGGTGTTGCACTTACCAGAAGCGAGAGAATGAAAAAGAGATACTGAGATAGTAGGGATATTTTAGGCAGGTGTGCGGTATATAAGGTTAGCTGATTACAAACGTTCCCTGGGGAAACGTTTTTGTTCAGCCTACTTTTTTCAAATTCAGCTCAATGTAGTCTATCTTCCAAACAGTGCTAATTCTCCATTTATTAGCTGAACTTAAAAAAATCTAGCCCATATTTTTCCAAACAGTCCTATTTTAATAAATGTTAAGATTATAGTATGTATGTACTTCGTATATGAAGTAAATTTTTTTCAAAAAACTGCACTTTAAGTGATACCATTGATACGTGGTATTATCCGAAATGCAAAACACAAAGAAAATATATGAAATTCAAACAATGCTCTGTATTGATTTTTATTAGAAAATAAAATTTCGATAATCTTCCTATAGTGTTCTGAACACTATAATGTTGTTCTGTTATGTGTTCCCTACTTCATTCTAAACTATAATGATGAATTACATACACCTCTTAGTTAATGGGTGAAACAAATTCAACCAGAGAGTTGTGTCGTCAATTGTATATGGGTATATCCTCAATTTTCAATTGAAATTCGTGGTGTTGCACTTACCAGAAGCGAGAGAATGAAAAAGAGATACTGAGATAGTAGGGATATTTTAGGCAGGTGTGCGGTATATAAGGTTAGCTGATTACAAACGTTCCCTGGGGAAACGTTTTTGTTCAGCCTACTTTTTTCAAATTCAGCTCAATGTAGTCTATCTTCCAAACAGTGCTAATTCTCCATTTATTAGCTGAACTTAAAAAAATCTAGCCCATTATCAGCTGAAATGGCATGCAAAACATAGCCTAAATCAATTGAGATCAGATCATATCAAACTTATACTACGTACACACTTGACCACACATTTGATCAGATCACATACAACCACTAGATCAAATTCAGACAAATCAGATTAAAGCAGATAAATAAATAAAAAATAGTCCAAGTAAAAACATAGAAAGCCTCATGTCCCTTTATTTTCTACTCACATAGAACCACGTAGCACTACATTTTGCTAAATGCAAAATACCCCGTATACATTCAATAGTATGGTGTAAGGCTAATATATTCTTCATCGGTTTATATATTCATTTAATAAATTCTGTTCATTCTTACAATCCATCATTGCTAATATATTCGCGCAGTAATATTTTTTAACTAAATCCTTACTTTTATTAATAAACTAGAAATTAGATCGTTTGAGTTAGTGGTGTGTGTATTACTTCTTCGGGAATTCCTGAAATTTTGGTGGGGGCGCTAAACTTTCGCTTCAATGAAGTGGATGTGGGTGTAGTTGGCATGACACTATGTCCAGTGGTTGAGGTGTCTTCAATTTCTTCCATGCAAATGATGTGTATGCTGTTTTTGTTTGACCTTGGAATGTAGATTGTTTGTAACCTATTTTGATTCGAAAATAGACGCCCTTGATCACTTCATTTTTTCCCTTCACATTGATTCCTTCTGCCTGCATGAAAACAGTGTAACGGCGTGGGTTTTGTATTTTAGTAATTCTTTTGAATGCAATGAATATACCTGAGCTTCTTTTTCTATGATTTCTTGTATATCTATGACAAGCAATTCCTCTCCCATTGCTCCAAAGAGTACAGTTTGGATCTCATTATCCCCATCATTTATTGTTATAGGAACTATGCACCTATTGATGTATTAAGTTAGTCATTAGTATATATTGTTTTGTTATTTTATTTTAATAAAAGTATGATGGAGTATATGGCCCGGGAACCCCCGGCCCACAGACTCATACTACCCCAATCAAGGCCGAACAGGCCCAGAAGGCCCAACAGGCCCAAATCACAGCGCCCAGAGTACCACACAGCGCCCAAATGGCCGAGGGCTCTAACTCCCACAGGAGGGCCAAAACAGGAAAACAAGATGGCTGGGGGAAACGGCGAAAATCACTAGCCCTCGGCACCAAGGGGGTCCCCAGTAATCAGAGCCCTCGGTTAGTCCTCTACAGCCGAGGGCACCTTTCCCGACATGATATCCGCGCCACATGCGTGCAGGTCACCGTACCCTGTACAACGTCCCATCCAACAGCCGCATTAAATGCGGCCACATGCGGTTGCCAGCGCCAACCGGTTGAGGTGACCTCTCGGCCAATGGACGCTTGACACGTGTCCCTGTCCGGCATTTATTGCTACTATAAATAGCACCCCATTTCCCCATTTGTAACCACGCTGGAAACGCTCCACACTTTACAATATACTTTCTCTCTCTATACTTACTTGCTCTGACTTCTCTCTTATCACTCCCCGTAATAACCCCTCGGATAAGCTACCCCCCGGGTACACTATCCATCATTTGGTGCTCTCGTTGAGAGGTCGAACAATCAAGTAAGAAACCCTCCCCCTCGACCAAACATAAAAACACCCATCCAAAATGGTGAGAACAACTCGTGCCAACTCCAAGAATGTAGAGGACAGGAACCTGGCCCTCGGCGAGGTCGACGTCCCCGAAGCCTCCAACAGGTCTCCCGGGGGCGGCGTCATCGCCGGGATGGACCAGACGGCTGTCGACCTACGCCAGCAGATTCAGCAAAATGCCCCCGATGCCCGCCTCGGCATCGAGGCCAAGAAAAAGGACCGGAGCGAAAATCAAATTAGCCCCCCGGTCATCACCATCGACGTTCAATCGGCGCTCTCCACCTTCATCCAGACGCTCACTCAGAACCCGGGTGCCTTCGGCACCTTGGTTCCCCACCAGCCTCAGGTTGGGGAGAATATTCTGCCTCCCCCTCATCCACGGCCCCTCGGTAACCCGGTCCTCTGGATGGGGAACTCCGAGGGGGTCGTGGCCCAAGATACGGCCTCCCAGGAGGTCCAGTCCCGGGACCGCCACGACGTGAACAAGGAGCACCCCCGGACCTCCGCCCTCGAGAGGCTCGGAGGGGCGCAAGACCGCCTCGGGGGGAGGGCGTTCCAAAGACCTCAGGAAAGTGGCGGGTCCGTCTCCAGGGCCAATGAGAGACGTCCCCCTCAGGACAAAGGCAAGGCACCTCTCCATGCCGACGACGCACGCCATCAAATCAATCAAGCCCACTCGGCCCGGGTCCATTCCCAGGGGGCGGAGGCCCTCCAGAAGGACCCCCGAGACGAAATCATTGCGGCCCTCCAATGCCGGCTTGACGAGATGGAGGCCACCAAGGCCCACGCCGCCACTTCTGCCCCTCATGCGGACTTCAAGTATGAGGCGATGATGGCTAAAATGGAGGAAATGTAGAAGAAAATAGCCGAGGGCTCCGAGGAACCCACCATACAGCTCCGAACCCGGACGCCATTTACCCCAAGGGTATTGGCTGCCCGGATCCCGGAAAAATACCGAGGGCAGCTCATCAAGACCTATGACGGAAACACTGACCCCCAAGAGCACTACAGCAGGTATCAAAACAGCATGATGATGGTGGGGGCATCGGATGAATATTTGTGCCGCTGGTTCCTCTCCACCCTAGAGGGGCCAGCTTACGAATGGTTCAACCGATTGCCCGAGGGCTGTATTGACTCATGGCAAGAACTCGCCCAGCGATTCTTGACGCAATTTGCGGGGAGGCGCCGCACGAGAAAACACTTCTCCCACTTGCTAACAGTGAGGCAGAGGAAGGAGGAGACCCTTCGGGACTTCCTGGAGCGCTGGAGGACGGAGGCTGATAAAGTTGATGGCGCTGACGACGGGACCCTCCTGGCCCTCCTACAAACAGTACTCCGCCCCGGGAACTTCTCAAGGAGTCTCATCATCGAACCCCCCCCCCCCCCGCGATTATATAAGGGCCCTACAGCGGGGGACCGGTACGCCGAGGCCGAGGAGGTGGAGAAATGCCACCATGTCCCAGATCAGCAACGCCCTCGGCCAGAAGACAAAGGTAGCCGGGGGCCGGGGGCTCCCCGCAATCATCACAGGGATTCTGCCCCCGCCGGTGATCGCCCCCGGCATGGCCAAGCCAAGCCCGGGGGAGGCTACAAGGGGAACCCGAGGGCTTGGGCACAGCCTGTCCTCCTGGAGCACCCTCGGACACCGTTGACGCACCCCGTCAGCGTCATCCTGGATTTTGCCGAGGAGAGGGGCCTCGTGGAGCGAGATTCACGCGCACCCTCGGAAGTGTTTGCCATCAATCCAAACTACCCCTACTGTCGTTTCCACCGACACCAGGGGCACATGACCGATGATTGCCTTCAACTGAAGACGGCCATCGAAAAATTGATACAAGCGGGCCATCTGTCCCAGTTTGTCCAGGGCCCTCAGCAACAGGCCCCCCCTCATCAGGGGCCACCCCGAGGGCAAACTGCGAGAGCGAACGCTTGGGTCAACCCCAACACCATCCCTCTCGGCAAGAAGAGGGAGATTGGAAATCTA